GCGTCTGCGTCCGACCCTGCAGCCAAATTCATCCTTTTAATCTTACTCATTTTCATTTGTCTTCTGTTTATGATCGGACATCTGTAGAGTATAGAAGCCTTTGTACCCTTGGTCTAATAAAGCCACATGTGATCATACGTCGAAAGTGCTTTCATCACATGAAAATACCTACATAATACGAAGTACATTAAACTATTCATGTATTAGTGAAATTTTATTATGCTCTTATTTAAACATAAAAAAGTTGAATCTATTTTGCCGTATTTAAATCGCGTATATTTGTTTTTTAAAACAAACCAACGTTTCGGGCCCTTTACAGGTCTCATGATGACGGCAGTTTTTTTGAAAGATAGCCATCTAAATATTATATGATTTTTTTTTTATTCGGTTCACAAAACTGGATACAATTCAAATTTCAGTTAAAAGTGTTTGGTTGATATTATGTTACAAGAAGAATGTACACTACTAGACGTGAACACAACATGCGAATTGAGAAAATAAATGCTTAAATAATAATATTAATTAAATTACAGTGATTATAAACTTGTCTTTGAAGAAAACAGGATAACAAAAACACATAGTGCACTTAGCTTTTAAGGCAATTTCTAATTGAGTTCCTAGCTGAGGCCTCAGAACCAAAGAATATGTCAAAATCAAATCTGACAGCATTGTACGAGGAGCACATACGATAAAGTGGATAGTGTTGACCAAGATTCGTCTTACAATTAGGAAGCGAGAAAGTTTTACGATTATGTAGGCGGCTACCGGGACGGTGGACTGACAGGCGCAAACTCTCAAGGATATCAGGTGCGTCTATAAAACCATGAACAAGTTTGAATAAAAACATCAAATCAAGGGCTTTTCGACGCTTTTGAAGTGAGGACATTTTAAAGTAAGAGAGACGCGACTCATAAGAGAAAAGCTGTTTAGACTTTAAATTATTAAACGTTAGATGATAGAGAAAACGTTTTTGAATACGTTCAATTCTATCAGAATGAACCTGGTAACCTGGGTTCCAGACAGTGGAACAGTATTCCAAAATACTTCATATTAAGCTGTTGTTTATTAAAATGGATATTGTGGGTTCGTTAAAAATTTTCATTTGTCTGGATACAAAACCAGTCAACCTTGAAGCTTTACTGGTAATTAAGTCTACAAGATTACGAAAAGTTAAGGTAGCGTCCATGACGACTCCCAAGTCCCGATTGCAAGTAACCTCCGTTAAGGGTATATGGTTAACAAAATAAATGACTGCTAAAGGCCTCCGGCGCCTGATAAACTTAATGTGTTAGCATTTATTTGTGTTTAGCATCATACCATTATTACAACACCACAGATGGACTCTGTCAAGATCGTCCTGAAGTAACTGGGCATCACCAGGCGAGTCAATAGCTCTGTAAAGCTTCAGGTCGTCAGCATACATTTTGAATTTAGAATGCAATGAAAAAGCAATGTCGTTGACGAACATCAGAAAAAATAGGGGACCTACATGGGAGCCCTGGGGCACACCGGATGGCACTGCTATCACTTCGGACCTAAAGCCACAAACCGTAACCAGCTCAGATCTATTGCGTAGGTAAGATTCACACCATCTTAACAGCGAACCGTGAATTCCCATCTGTTCCATCTTGTTAAGAAGAACATCATGATGCACGAGGTCAAACGCCTTTTTAAAGTCGGTGTACACTGCATGCACCTCACCGCCCCCATCCAGAATATCTGATAAATCTGATACATATGCCACCAGATTCGAGGAAGTTCATCTATGTGGCAAAAATCCGTGCTGGTTTTAGTTAATTAAGTTTTTGATATGGAAGTATATTTTTTTTGCATGAGCGATTCCAAAATTTTGCCAGCCGTAGATAAAATTGAGATTGGTCTATAGTTGACAACATCCTGCGAACAACCCGATTTGTGAATAAGTGTGATGTGTGCTGTTTTCCACTTGCTTGGAAAAATAAATACCAAGTCGCAAGGACTTATTGTAGATAATGTAAAGTGGTCTGTATAAAACTTCAGCACAGCTTTTAAGAAAGTGAGCTGGTATCAAAGCGGGTCCGGGCCCCTTGTTACAGTCAAGACATTCAAGAAACTTGAGCACCTCATCCTCAGAAACCACAACATTGCTGAGAGGAGAACTGTACTGATAAGCATTGACTTTACCCTTACATAAAATTGGCGGATCACTATAAACGGATTGAAAATGTTTAGAAAAAAGGTTACATATACTTTGGCCACCCGTGACATAGGAATTACCCAGATACATCTCGTGGGGGATGGTGGACTCATTGGATTTATGACCTTTACAAAACTTCCAGAAATATTTCGGGTTAGCTTGTAAGTGATCCAAGGCTTTTTTTTGAAGATTTTGTAACATTCTTTTATCATATTGTCACATCTCGTTCTCAACATATTGAATGTTACTTGATCCAATGGGTTGTAATCTTTTTTGAATTTTTTACGATATTTCGCTTTTTTTTTAGTGTCTTAATCAGTGGTCTAGAGTACCACACTGGGTATTTACTGTCACGGGTAAAGCTGGATGGGGTATGTTTCCGGATTACTTGAAAAAGTATCTCATAGAATAGATCAACCGTTTCATCAATATTCAATGCAGCACTACTTAATTGAGACCAATCTACCTGAATGAGATCACTTCGCACAGAATTGTAGTCACGGGCCATAAAGTTCAAATAAGAGGACCGCTTAGGTTTAATATTCTTGGAATATGATATTCTTAAAACTATAAGCAAAGGCGGATGGAAAGGATCAACGTTTACAACAACACTATCAGGCGTGTTAGACAAAACAAGGTCCAAAATTCTATTGCCAGTATTGCGTATCAGGTTGCGTTGAAAAAGGTTGTTGTATGCCAATGAATCAATCAATGTATTATTAATAGAGCTGCCTGATTTTAACGACGACAGAGAAATACCATTAGTGTCAAGATTGGTGGACGACGAAATGTCACCAATATTAAAATCTCCCAATACTAGAGTAGAGGTGTCACTAGGCAACTTATTGTGAATGACTTCTGAGATATTATCAAGCAATGATTCTAAGCCAGCAATCAATGGTGGAGGAGGCACATAAACAGCACAAATGGCGAGATTTTTGTTCGAGACCTTTAGTGTGACCCATAAGTCCTCATTGCAAGATTCCCATTCCAATTTACGCAAAGCATTGAATTTTTTGAGAACAGACACTATGACACCTCCGCCGTCCTTTTTCTTACTGCATGTAGTGTACCTATCTCTTCTAAAGACATCATATCGCTCATCAAAACATTCCCTATCAAAAACAGTGTCATTAAGCCATGACTCGGTCAACACCAAAATGTCATAACTATTTAATAGCACAGCGAGATACAAAATGTCTGTTTTGGTTCTGAGCCCTCTGACATTTTGATAATATA